TCTCACGCATGTTAGGCAAGCTCGCTACCACTTGAGCCACATCCCCAGCCCTTAAAAAGTCTTAATAAAACTATTTTACCAGCTTATAATTATGATTAAAAAATCAAATTTTTACAACAGATTGATATTTTAAAATATTAAGTCGTTCCATTTGTTTAATGCCCTTTTTAACCTCAAAGGGCATTAAACGAATGATAGGCACAATAAACTATGTGTTTACTCTAATAAAAGAGGAGAACAGAGAATTGGCCAGTGGATTCCAATGCGGCCATGGCTGATGAACTCAAAAGAGTCTTCGTGGACTCAGGAGCTGTCCTGGAAAGAACTGGAGTAAGAGTATAAAGTGAGGGACCCGAGGGAGGGTGGGCTTGACAATATATTCATTTTTCAATTTTGTCTGTTTTTTTCTCTTTTTTGTTAGTGCTGTGGATGGAACCCAGAGCCTCACACATGCTAGGGATGTGCAGTACCACCGAGCAACATCTCCAGCTCTAGGGTTCTTTTTAACGAGAGCAAAGAAGATGAGATAATGCAGAGTGGAGGGCGTAAGGTCAGGAGACAATATTCTGTGAGTTAGATTATAAAGCATAGCTGTGTATTTGTGTTGCTATCCAACAACAAGGCAGGAATTGGTGATGCAGGATGGAGGGAAAGGACAAAGGACAAAGGGAGGTTGACTTTTCACTCAGAGCCACCGTTCTGTACCTTTGCTTTCCTCTTCTTTATTCTGCTTAATTCTCATATTATTCCTTCTTGTCTTGTCTGTGAGCTTAAATAGTAACGTAAATAGAATAATTATTCCTTGTACATAGTCACACAATTTCACTAGTTTTTCACCTATATCTGTCTCTAATACTAGGTCACTGGAATTTTTAAGAATGTGTTCTTTTAATGTTGATCTTATTAATTCTCCTTTCTTCTCTTCAAAACATGTTTTTCAAAACACAGAACTCAAAAAGAGGAGGAGGGAGGAGATAGGAGGGAGAAAATGAGTGTTATTAAAAATCTGAAACTTTCTCAATGGATGAGTGTGGGGAGCCATTCTCACACGTGATTGGGCGAGTCCCGGTTTAGGTGTGAGGCGCTCTGGCTAAACTGTGTCGGAGCTTTCCCGACCCTCTTCTAGTGTGAGAGCCTGTCCGTGTGGGGGTGTGCCTGAACACTGACCCTGAGGCCAATCACTGACCCTGACCTTGGAGTATTGCCTCCCTCAACCTTCACTGGATGGAATTCTCCCCTGAATTTCTTGTTCCCCAATAAAAGGCCACTCCCTGGCATGCTCCCTCTCTCTCTCTCCTGCCAGCCCTGAGTCATCCCTGCTGCCTTACCGGGTAGTTCGAGGTGTGAGCCAGAGGGAGAGCCGTCTCGGACCTGGTCATAGAAAAAGGTAACTGAGTCTGTGTGTTTATTTTGATCTCACTAGCTAACTTTTATGCCAAGAACCTCTTTAATGAAACCAATGCACTGGTCGCATGGTGGAAGATGAGGTGCTAAAAATTGATTTTGAGCAACTAGGGATTGTGTGCGTGTGTGCATGTGCTCAAGTGTGCACATACTGGGAGCTTGCTTTCCACGGTTTTCTCCAAGTAACTGGAGAGAATTGCTAGTGAGTCTTTAACCGGCATTTCATGCTCTTATCAACAGTTAAAAACGCAAGTTATTTTTATGACCCCAAAATAGATTTCCACGTGTTGATATAAAAAGCAATTAGTGCCTTCAGTTCAGCTTGCATGCTGAGAAGATCAAAATTGTTGCAGAATTTCCCCCCTCCCGCCCTGATATTTATCATGTTAGATTACCCACAGGCTGCTGCTAATGGTGTTTTAGAGACAGCTAGAAAAACACCATCTATCAGATAAACAGCCTCTAAACTCATGGCCCTACCCATAGGGTACCTAGGATGATTTCATAAGGAAACAGAATTTTCTAACTTTTATTTTGGGGCATTCAGGATCCAAGCTCAGAATGAGGAATTCTGGTCAGAAAACCCATATCTGAGACCATCCAGTCTTGGCTTGAATTCTCCTGTCCATTGTGAGGTGACTGAGATTATGGGGGTGGAAACTGTCATGTGAAACTGAACCCTGCTTTCCTGATGCAACTTCCATGATGCTTGTTCTGCCTTATGGAGACACCTGGACTCCAAATTCCCACATTTCCAAAACCTGACCGTGGTAATCACACTGGTCCCGCTGCCTTAATCCCCACCCCCTCACCAGGTTTCCTCTCTTCCAGGCTAATCAAATCTAATTCCTCCAACAGTTTCTCATGTGGAAGTGTTTAACATAGTCCCAGAAATTGACCTACAACTCCAATTCCTTTCTAAATTATATTTTGAGATAAATTTTTTTTTGGTTCAAATCACAGCACTGCCATTTTTTTAATTTAAAAAAATTATAATTTGTTCTTTTATGAATTGTGATTTGAGTATTGTATCTAAGGAATACTTTGCAAATATTTTCTCTTTTATAATTTTAGATCTTACCTTCATATTGGGAGTATGACATCTGGGGTTATCCAGTCAAATCTGCATGCTTACAAGAAAAAGTGAACAACAGTGTAAATGGAGTTTCAGGTACTACAGTTTGCTCTCTGTCTAAGGGAACAAGCATAGGAGAAAGCTTTTGCCTTAAATATGTATTTTTTTTGCATTTATATATATCAAAAAACAATCACCATAATAAAAATAATGAGCATATTCATCACAGTCAAAAGTTTTCTTGTGCCCTTTGTGATCTCAGCCACTTGCCCTGTCCCCCCTCCCGCCAGGGAACTGCTGACTTGCTCTCTGTTCCTATATATAAGTTTGCATTTTCTAAAAATAAATTTATAGCTGGGCATGGTAGTATGCACCTGTAACCCCAGATGCTTGGGAGACTGAGGCAGGAGGGTAGCAAGTTTGAGGTCAAACTGAGCAACTTAGCTAGACCCTGTCTCAAAATTTAAAAATAAAGGTGGGGGTGAGTTGGATTGTTTTCTCCTGGTTATGAATCATATTTTCTTTCTTTTTCATCATTCTTACAAGTTTTGTTATGTTCCAATAATTGGGAATGAAAGAAATAGTATATATTCAAATTGAATGTTTTTGTCTTGTTTTGTTTACTTTGCTTTGCTTTATTTCCCTGGTAATGTAAGTCCTGTCCTCTGTGTGACAGTTCGAGTGAGAAGCTGGTCATTAATATTCCCCTCAGAGTTAAATTGAGTTAGATCTGCTGTTGGCCTACCTTCCTAAATTCCTTCACTGACTTTTAAATCTTGTACCGATATATGAAACAGGAAGGAGTTGGGTTTCAGTTTTACTATTTTTTTTTACTTACATTTGAACTAAAATCTTATAATCCAATTATTATGAAATATGTGCTACTATACAGTTTGTCTCTGCTTCCCAATCCCTTCTTGGTGCCACTTTCTCAGCAAAATTCTGGAGTGGGATAGGGATTTGGGGACAAAGAATTGTTGGAAATTAAGGAACCTTTCAGATTCCAATCTGCCTCGACAGAGCATCTGTCATCTAAGCTTCATCTAATTTATTCTTCTCTTGCAAGGTCTTTTAGAACAATGGACTCTCTTATTGGTCTGGATACCAGCCCGGTATCTTGCCCCAAGTTTGGGAGAACACTTGGCTCTGCTCATCTACAAAGGGTTCGTTTCTCTCTGAAGCTTAAACCTTCAAGGGTTTTTTGCATACCAAGAAAAGTATGATTTTTCTTTTTTTCCATATTTTCTTCTTCTTCCCATGGATCTAAAGGATTTTATTATCCTCCTACATCATTATCAAGACAAAGATATGTGGCCATGTGACTTGGGAATAAAATAAACATGACCATTTTGACAAATTCTACCTGTTTTTCAAATTTCTGCTTTATGAATGTTAATAGGATGGGGTTGGGTGCACAAAGTTCTGTGATTGTCACATATTGTAAGGAGATTTTTATCACTTTACAATCTCTCACCCTAGCCCCACTTTGCTATGCACTGAAGCATGTCTCTCTGTACCTTCTGTCTCTCCTCCCCATGAATTTCAGTCTTTACCATATAACATTTGCTGGTTTTTATCCCAATGCATTAGTTTATTGACCTTGAGAAAAATTACTTCCTTTCCTTGGAGCCTTAATTTTCCCATCTGCAAAACAGATGAGATAGTCTAAAAATCCATTTCAAGTTTAAACTTTATTAAATACTTATGTTATGTCACTAAGAAGGTATGATCATAATCATAGTATTTTATAATTATAATATATATAACATAATTATATGCAGCTGTTTTACATATCACTATATAATATTCTAATGTATATTTCATAAGTTAATTACATATTAATAATTGTACATAGCACTAGATAATATTCTAATATATATTTTATAAGTTAATTATATACTAATAAAATTGTGCATCTTTGATATACTAAAGAACAATTATATGAACATAATACTACACTAAGGTTATGATGTATATATAATTCTATTTTATTTACATAACTATGATTATATAATATCAATTGACACCATTTATTAAACTGCTATCCTGTATCAAGACATTCTTCCTCTTCCCTCTACGTTCTCTTGTCTAATAATGCCATCTTATTCACAAGTCTGTCTCACTTTGGTTGTCAGCTCCTTCAGAAAGCCTTCTCCAAATCGCCCTAGCCTGAGTTAGATGTTCCTGCTCTCACAGCTCCCTGTAGTTCTCCCAAGCGCAACACTTATCACACTTTATTAGAATTTCCTATGGAATTCTTGACACCTCCAAAAAAAAAAAAAAGAGTATAAACTCTGTGGAAGCAAGGCAATCCATTATTTATTGCTCTTGATATTGCCAGCATCCAGAATAGTACCTGGCACATATCAGGCACTCCATAAATGTTTGTTGAATAAATAATTCACTAATGCTAGGCAGCATATGCTATATCATCAGAAGACACTAGCACAGTATTACAGAGACCAATACCTCTTTAATCGGTTAACTCACACTTCCTCTCTTAAACGCGGCTATAAAAAGAAGCAAGAGGCAACTGAACTCCAGTGAAACAGACGGTGGTAGAAGAGCATCATTCTTGTCTGCAGAAGACTAGAGCCCAGAGGAAGATGGCCCAGCACCTCCTGTGGATTTCGCTCCTTTTTCTGCAAACCTGTGAGTTCTGACCCTTGTTAACCTCCCTCATTCCTACTTTTCCATAAAGTTGTAGAAATTGCTCTTAAGGAAGATACTGAAGTGTCCCTTTGATCTTTTTTCAACAGAAGACCCTCTGTTTCAGTATACCTTGTACTCAAAAGAGATCCAACTAATGGGGGATGGCTTTCAGCTCAAATCTTAAAACAATTTAAGTTGTTTCTCAACTGTAGAGTTGCTATTTCTGAGTTTGATCTGTGCTGTCTCCAAACATCTGAGAAAAACCCTTCTTCTGGGAAGAGACAGCGTTTTGTGTAGACTCACCCACAGAACCCAGTGAAAAGACAGGTCATCCAAAACCTTGAGCAAATTAAAAGCAATTTGTTTTTTTGGTATTAGAATGTGTCATGTGGTTTTTGAGAGAGATATGATCTGACTAATGATATTTCATTGCTCTATCAGGTTAGAATGTTGCATGATGTCTCACTACAAAAAAAAAATCCTCTCCATGAGCTCCTTTCATTTTAAAAGCACATGCAGGATTATTAGTCTGCTTTCTATTCTCCAAAAACTCTAAAATAAATGGGGGAAAGGTGATGATACTCCCGCCATTTCTGTGCAAGTAAATTCCAAACAAAAACAGAGGTTCAGAACTTGAGTTATAAACTCTATTTTCCATACTTATGCCTTAAATTAATATTGGTTATTAGATTACCTACCAAACAAGTAGGTAATATTAACAAAAAAAGTCCTCAGAGTGCTTTATAATTGCTCATATTATCATCCTAGATCCAAATAATTGCCCGTTCATGTAAAAATTGATTATGTTGGGAATTTCTAAGTGTACTTCTAGTGTTCTTACCAGCTCTGAATGTGCACTAGCAAATGCCTAGCATGAGTGAGAACCTAGGAAACCTGGAGGGTTAAGACTTTGTGAAAAAGTGGAATCAATGCACTATGATCTCTCTGGTTTCCTTGACCAGGGTATGGCTCCTTTAATTTGAGTTTTATGGAGATTACACCCACTGAGCAGGCTGAGTATTTGCAGCTTCTGCTGATCACCCTATGCAAGTAGATGGGGAACAGAGTGGAACCTAGGGATGTCCTTATCTCTCAGAGAAGGAATAGACGGGGTGGCATTTCACTTAGTTTGAAAAGTATTCTTCAATTATCATGCCTACTTCTTATGTTACCCGTATTAGGACCTCTGCAACAGGTGAGATGAAAATTATTAATTTCATTATGAGTAATGAAAAAGAGGAAGAGTAAACCAAGACTCAGAAATCAAATAATTCACCTGAAGTGCCACTTCTCGAAATTGGTAAAACTAGAAATGAACATTGATTCTTGTAACCCAAGGCTGTAGGCCTTTCTGCTCCAATTGATCTCCTCCCTAAGCGTTCAAATCCTCATTCTTCAAAGAGCAATATAACGGGCTGCCCTAGGATACACTTTCTCTTCTCCTGAAACTGAAGTCAAAGTTGTTGAATCATCTAGTAGCAACACACTTGCCCATTAGTTTTGATCCTCTAAAAGTTATGCAACCTCTTGAACTTTTGTTTCAAATCCTTCAAAATGGGGAAACTATTACTAGTAGGATTATTTAGAGAATCAAAATAATAATTTACAATACTTGGTATAGAAACCAAGTATAGTACATGCTTGACAAATATTAGCTAATGCTGTTTTTTGGTTTTTCACAGTTTTTGTTTTTCAATTGTTGTGGTGGTGACGGTGGTACCAGGGATTAAACCCAGGGGCACTTTACCTCTGAGCTACATCCCCAGCCATGTTTTATATTTTATTTTGGGAAAGGTTCTCACTGAGTTGCTTAGGGCCTTGCTAAGTTGCTGAGGCTGGCTTTGAACTTGAGATCCTCCTGCCTCAGCCCCCACCCCACACCCCACCCAAGTTGCTGAGATCACAGGCATGCCCCACTGCTTCTGGCTTGCACTGGATTTCCCATACATTATTAGGAAGGATCTTGAATTTATCGCACCAAAATCCTGGACAGGACTCCTCTGTTTGGGATGGTCCAAGGAACACGAGCATGCAGAAAAGTAGAATGAGTTTGAGCTTAGGTGTGGGCTGTTGTTCTGAAAAAGGAACCAGGTGAGATATTCGTGTCATTAGGGACTCCTTAAATAGAGAATGGTGCATATTTTATAGAATAAAGCTGCAAACATTTTCACACATCATTCACCTTGACTGAACAGATATATATCTGTCTCTTAAAGATTATTCCACAAACATTTCCATTTTCCTGAGTGCACATGTACGCCATAAAATCCCACCCCCCGCTGTCCCTAGAAGAGGTGAGCCCTCATATTTGGTATTGGGCTTAGGAGTGCACACTGGTTTGATGCACTTCCTAGAACTCAGAGCAGACGAAGCAGCTGAGAAGATGTGGAGAGATGAAGGTAGAAATCCCCCGTTTCCCCCTGAAATCACTGACACAGGGAAAGTCTGAGTGTGTGAACCTCTGACTGCTCCGCACTGGAAAGGTTTCCTTGGAGAATCAAGACTCACAGTCTCGTGCTCTGAGCTCGACTTTCTCATGGTCACTTTGGGAGCTCTGTGACTCTGACTGTCCCTCCACGGATGAGCCACTCACCCTCTGGGAGTAGAAGATGGAAGAGTCCATCACTTTTGCTCCCTGTCCATTCCCTCTCTGTGTTCTCTCTCACACTCTTAATCCTTCTTTTTCTCCTCCCACTTCTTACATCTACTTCCTCAACCCCTTCCCTTGCTCCTTTCTCCTATCTCTCATCAATAATAGTAATAGCAGGGGCTGGGGCTGGGGCTCCGTGGTAGCGCACTTGCCTGGCATGTGTGAAGCACTGGGTTCGATTCTCAGCACCACATGTAAATAAATAAAATAAAGTTCCATCAACAACTAAAAAAATATTTAAAAAAAAAATAATAGCAATAACAAACCATGGGTGGAACAATCCCTACTCATCTGGCAACACTCTCCATCGACGACGACGGTTATTGTTTTGTTTAATCTCCCCTAACACCCATGAGATGGATACTATGACTCTACCTATTTACAGATAAAAACATTGATACACATTAAGTCAAAGGGTCATTGAGCCAAAATGTAGAGGAAGTGGGATTTAAACCCCAGTGTCAGGGCTGGGGCTGTGGCTCAGTGGTAGAGCTAGAGCATGCGCCTAGCACATGTGAGGCCCTGGGTTCAATCCTCTGCACCACATAAAAAAAAAAAGTAAAATAAAGGTATTGTGTCCAACTAAATATATTTTTAAAAAATTAAAAATAAATAAACCCCAGGGTCCTCAAACTTAACCACCAAGCACTATTCTCTTGCCAAAGTGGAGTAAAACACTGGTCCCGTTATGGATGGTTTTCATATTGGGGAATTTGTTCCTTGAAAGACAGGATTATTCAAGTTGAAGCTGCACCTCTCTCTTCCCCTACCAAAGAGGTACTAGTGGACAAGCCCTTTGTCAGTAACAGAAATTTTGGCAGACTCTCAAGACAGAATATCTGGGGGAATAGCCATCTCTTCAGACTCTGTTCACACACCATTATTTCAGTAGAATTTAAGTTGACTTGAATCAGCTTTTTCAAAACAAACAAAAGTCCAGTGTCAACATGGCCTTGATGTCCCTGTTGGGTGTAGAGTAGTAGATCATGAAGCATTTCAGCAGAAACTTAAGAACCCAAGAAGTGAGGGGGCCCACCTGGATATCTGTCCAGGGATAACTAGACCCCAGCATCATCCCTGGGGTCAGAGACAGGATGCAGGCCTACTGAAGGGCACTAACAAGAGCCGACCTGCCACTGGCCTGAAGTCCTTGCAGGGAGAGGCCTTCAAGATAAAGTCAAGACCTCAATTCTAGAAAGAGATTTGAGCAGATTACCACCATGGTCCCTCATGAGGGGCTCAAACACAGAAGCTTAACTATAGAAATGGAAATATATTGTATGTGGGGAAAATTAGACGTCAGGACATCAGCTCAAAGACATGAATCTCGAATAGAGGATGGAAACTGTGTCCCTGTAATAACACCAGCCTCCAGGGAGAGGATAGAGGCCCATGGTGTCAGTCCAACATGCTGAAGCAGCCCCGGATATGAACCTGGACTCTGACAGAGCAGAGAGTGCCCAACAGTCAGTGCCAGGCCATCCGGGTTCTCAAGTGTTCCTGAATCAAACCTTTCTTATCTTGGCCCTTTAGAGAGGGGTAGATCTGAAACTTTGGGGGTAACTAAATTCATTACTGTAGAACCAGGGGGGAAAAAGAGATATGAGCCATCAGTTGACAGGTCTGATATTGGGGGAACTGTATAGGTACCCATTTTTCCGCTTGTTACACGTGATGCTTAAGGATGTGCTAATAGAGAGGAGTCGGGGAAAGCAATGGATGGCCATGAACTCGTCTCTGTTTTTGAGATTTTGCGCATGCATGTGTGTGTGTGTGTGTTGGGTTTTATTTGTTTTGAAGCAACTGATTAAAGTTAACCCAAATCTCAATAAAGATAATATAAAGGAAAAATCGCAGAGGAAAATAGGATATCGTGGTAGGAGAGTAGCAGGTTCCCTTTTCTGACAACCTTGTGACCAAGGACTTTCCATGTTTCTGGACAATGACACAAAATTTCTGCTGCCCAACCATTTTGCTTCCTCTTTGCCTCCAGTGTCTCAACTTAGCTGGACAAGTTATAACCCACTGTTGGGTTTTGGCTACCGCAAGGTCATGCTGCCTCTGGTCACCATCCCAGTCCAGCAATACAAAAGGACCTTCCACCCCCATGGTAGGCAGCGGATGGAGAAGAAGGGAGGAAGTCAGCTACTGCTAAAAAAAAGAACAAGAAGTGCTTATTTGAAGGATCCTGAAAACACAAGGGTTGAGGGTGTCTATTAAGCAACAGTACCATCATCCGCAGTCCACCCTTGCTTACTGTTAGACGTCCTCTGACATCTCTGCAAAACCCCAACACTTCTTTTTTCTTTCTGAGTTGTCCAGGGTGTTATTTTTATCTCTGTAACATGCT